ATGAATTAATGGTCTCAGGGTAAATACTATAGTCCCATTCAGAGGGTGAAATTAAGGAAAAATGGACATATGTTGATTAGTGTAGCCTCAAACAGAATTGTAGTGTTGTAGAAAGAGCTACTGAATTTGGAATTAGAAGACTTGGGTTACTCCACGTGTGACCTTAGACCTTAGTATTCCTTGGTTACTCCTCAGGAAGAAATGGCCAGAATGAGTTTATTGCTTCACTCAATTCCTCCAACAGGATATCAGCTGGGTGACTGGACAATGGTTGAAAGCACTATGGCATAATGGGGTATTGGGATTTGAGGTCAGAGTAGCTGGGCTCATATCCCAGCTCTGCTACTCATCACCTCTATGACTAGGCAAGTTACCTGGCCTCTTTGGAACTCAATTCTTTATATGCAAAATGAGGGAGTTTGAATTAATGACCTCTAAGCTTCCTTTCAGATCTGAAGCTATGCACCTATGAAAAAAGAATGTAGTGACAACCACACATAGCAATTTGGAGTTTTCTCACAACAACCCTGTGAGATAGCTTGGTATTACAACTATTATCTCCCCCATTTTATAGATCTGGAAACTAAGGATTGAAAAGATTAAATGACTTGCCACAAATACATAGCTGGTAAGTGTCTGAGACAAGATTTAATTACTAGCTCTTTTGGTTTCAAATTCAATGCTCTATCTACCAAGCAACATTGCTTCGTGAACAGTTAGTAAGCAAGCAGACACAGACATAATTATTGTTATGTTACCTTCTAATGCTTGCAGGCTCATGAAAGGCAGCTCCCTCTGGTGTAATAAGAGTGAAAATTGTTGAGTAGTTTGAGACTCTTTGTGACCCCATTTCAGGCTTCCTTAGCAAAGATACTGGTTTGCCATTTCCTTCTCCAGCTCATTTTACAGATGAGAAAACTGAGGCAAACAGGGGTAAATGACTGGCCCAAGGTCCCACAGCCAGTAAGTGTCTGTGGCCGGATTTGAGCTCATGAGGATGAGTCTTCCTGATTCCAAGCCTAGTGCTCTATCCACTGTGCCACTTAGCTGCCAATAAGTATGTTTGGGGGTAGGCATATGTTAGAAGTGAACAAAGTTTGATTTGGTGACCAAAATTTAGATTTGAGCCTCTCGTAGTAAAGAGTTAACAACCTCTCCAAGTTCTAGGCTGCTTTTTGAGCATTAATCAATCCTACCCTTGATGCTATTCTAAACAGCCACGATTTGCGTATCTATAACTGAGCATATGCATTTCTATTATTTTTTATAAGCACTTGAATAGACCATTGTGTATTTTCATTACACAATAATTTTGTATAACTCAGTGGACACAAAGACAACCTAAATGGAAAAACAAGACACAAATGGCAACATTTTAAGAGAAGCTATTCATAGTTCCGTGGCCTGGGAGCTTTTTGTCTGCGTTAGAAGGTCACTGATGATCCTTGTATATTTGTAAATTCAAAGTCTATTTCAAGAAAAATAGAACATCTTGAGCTTCTTAGAACAAAAATGCTATAGAAATGCAAAATTAAATATAATTATCAGTATGCAGAGAGCAGTCCTGAATTTTTTTCCAGTTCTAACATTGACTAATTAGGTGACCTTAAGCCAAAAACAAGTATATTTCCAGGCAGCAAATACAAGATAGGGGCTGATGAGGAAATGATAAGTGCATAAGGAATTATAATTAGAAATATCACCCAGGAGGAACTGTGTCTGAAAGAACCCCTTGACCTGTTTCTAAAGTGGCCCATAGCCCAAAAAACTGGACGATACCTTCTGTTCCAGGGAAAGGGGTCCTCTACATCAGATTCAGGCAGCTAGGTGATAGAATGGATAGAGTACCAGGCATGGAGTCAGAAAGATTTGACCTCAGACACGAGGCGTGTGACCCTATGCAAGTCACTTAATCCTGTTTGTCTCAGTTCCTCATCTGTAGAATGAACTGAAGAAGAAAATGGCAAACTGCTCCAGTATCTTTGCCAAGAAAACTCCAAGTGGAATCACAAAGACTCAGACACAAGTGAAATGACACAGTAGCAACATGTGCCAGTTACCATGTTAAGCACTTGGTAACAAATGAATGAAGCAAAAATGAGGCAAAGCAACTTGCCCATAGTCATACAGAGTTATAACTAGCATAAGATGAGCAGGTCTTTGCCCCAGGGGGCCAGATTTTGAGGAGGTTGGTTACTTTGCATGATGACTATTTGCCCTACGCTTGCCTCATGGTCCCCTTAACCCAAACCACCATGTAGAGTTGTATAGGGAGACAGACCTGTTCAGCCCTCTTCCCTGAAGGGGTGGAGGGGGAGGAGGAAGACTCCCAAAGAGAGCTGTCACCCACAATGTCCCTGTCACCAGGGCTTACCTTCTTTCCACCTAAGCCCATGGAGCAAGGAATGGACCATCCCTGTCCTGGTGCAATTGCACCCTCAGTTAGACTGTTCTGTCATCCTTGATAATCTACACACTCCACTTCCATCCTCACTCATTTGCTTTGACCCATGTTAAAATGTTCCCAGTGACCTTTTCATCTGATGCAGTCCCATGTTGGCCTCAAGCCTGAAAACTCAGCAGCCTATTTGTGCTTTCTATGTGTCTCTCTGTTGCCCTTTGGGCAGCCCACAATTTTTATTGTGTCAGGGTTACTAAAAGACTTGAAAAATGGTCTTGTGAAGAAGGGATAGACTTGGGTCTGTTTGGTCATAGAGCAAGGGGCGGGGTTTACAAAAATTAGCTTTTCAGCTTGATGTCAGGAAAAGCTTCCAAACAATTAGTTACCCAGAAGTGGGATGGGCCACCTCGGGAGGCAGTAGGCTGCCCTTCATAGGAGGTCTTTAAGAGAAGGTGTGAGAGTTGGGTTGCTTTTTCAGGTACAGGTACTCAAGCCCCTTCTCTCTTTGAAATTCTGCGCTTCTGATTCTCCAGATGTTTAGGGTGTTCTAAGATTCACAATCAGTCAATGTCACTGAAGGGAACATTTATGTTAAAAAAGAAGAGATTTTGTGTCAAGGAGTAGTTTGGGATTATTCAAAATACTAAGTAGTTTCTAAATGCAATAATGAAGGCTGACATTTATACAGTGCTTCAAGCTTTGCAAAGCACTTGACATATATTAACTAATCTGATCCTCAACAGTGTACTGAGTCATTTCCCCTTGTATTTCACACATGAGAGAGGCAGTGTGGTATAATAGCTAGAGGACCGACCTCAAAGCTAAAAAAGCATGGATTCAAATCTCCCTTCAGTCACATACTGTCTATGTGACCCTTGGCAGGTCATTTAACTTCAAAGTACTCTTGCAACTCAATTAGGTTCTAAGTTATATTGGAGGTATCAACTTGCATTGGTAGAGGGAGATTTACCACTCAGGAATTCTGAGTAGATACCTTCACAATGAGGGTATTGAATCTGAGGGAGGTTAAGTGATTTGTCCATGATCATGAAGCTAGTAAGCATCAGAGGTGGAATCTGAAGCCAGGTCATCCTGACTCCAAGTCCAGTGTTCTATCCACTATAAGGGAGATGCCAAACATATGCAACATCCCTGAGTGCAACCCACATCAGATTAAAATGTAATTGGAAGATATTTAACAAAGTAAACAAAAATGCAGTAAAACATAGATTACATTTTTTTTTTTGGCTTTTTAGTGAGACAATCTGGGTTAAGTGACTTGCCCAGAGTCACACAGCTAGTAAGTATCAAGTGTCTGAGGCCGGATATGAACTCGTGTCCTCCTGACTCCAAGGCCAGAGCTCTATCCATTGTGCTGCCTAGCTGCCCCAATCACATTACATTTTAAAACCAAATCAATATGTGACACTGGGATCCTTATGTACATATTAGTAGCCCAGTTTCTATTTGCTGTCTCTCAAATGTAAGCTTATTAAGGGCAGGGACAAGTCCCTTTTTTGTATCAGGGGTATTAAGGGACTTGAAAAATGGTCATGTATTTCTTACACCTAACACAATTACTTGATTATAATAGGCACTTAATGTTTATTGAATTGATTTATAAAGATGAGGAAGTAGGCGCATGGATCAATAGTTATGGATTGTTAAGGGGCCCCCTGAACTTGTCTTCCTGAGTTGCCATGTTTTCCAGACACACTGAACCTGGAGTATTCAGGAACCACTGAACATGAAGCCAATGTCCCCCCCCCCCCCCCCCCACGCACATACAAACACACCCAGCTGGCATAATTTGTTGTTTGCACCCCAAGCTGGACTCCCTGGGTAACGTCAGGAGTCAAGACTGGTGCCAGTCAGTCTGTGCCAGATGAGACACTCTTTTGCACAGCTGGGACCCTTGTGGATAAGCAGACCATCCTATCTTCATGGTTTAGCGGTTCCCAAGGGAAAAAATAATATGGCTTTTCCCATCACTTTTCTCCTCTCCTTTGGGAGGAGATTTGTTCTTTTCCCCTCCAATATGACTTTCTCTTTTCCTTGTATCTTAAATACCAAGGTTTTCCCTATACTGCTGGGCTCTTTGGTATAAGGAGTTCCCACATGCACGTGCCTTTCTCTTGTAATAAATACAGTTGCAATGCATGTTTCATGAACTTGTGGTATTATTTTTGGTTAATAGAATTATCTTCTAGATCACCATTTATTGGTGTAACCATTAAGTGGTGTCGTCAGGCAAGGTTGGCTTTGTAAGTAGAAACCAAAAAGAAGAGAAATGTCCCCCTCATTCCCTTCTAAGCCACACTTTTGTAACATGGCCTTATTCATTCTTTCCCAATTCTGTATCCTATCGGGGAGTATGACTCACCCTTAACTATCCCCTTTATTCAGACCCTATGAGGCACCACCAATTTCAAAGGGAAAGTAAACAAAAGGTGGAGAGTTAGTTAACTTGCCTTAAATACTCACCTCTTTTCATCCTCTTGGTCTGTTTACATATAATTTAACAATTTAGGTTAAGTGGACCTGAGTTATGTAGTTAATCTCTCCTGCCTCTTAGGAGCTTTAAAAGTTGTTTAATAATTATCACTTTGGCTGCACATATACTAAAAATTGAAACAATACAGAAAACATTAGCATGGTCCCTGCACAAGAATTACACACAAATTCATGAACAAAATTCAAATCCATAAGATTCTCTCAGGATTACATCCAAGAACCCCCAAGATGGTATAAAAAAGAACCCTAGCTATTTTAGACCAAGGCTGAGAGCTCTGTCCTATTTAGTTCTGTGACCTACAAGTCATTTATTGGCTTCCATTGCAATCTCTCTGTACACAGTTAATAACACACAAGAATCAAAGAGAAGTTATGACAGCTCATAGTTTTACATTTGAAAAAAGAACCAGGAATTAGACATAGCTTAAAAAAATTGAGAAATTTGGAAGTCAGTCTCTGTCATCTGCAGGCACAGGAGAGGGAGAGAGAGAGAGAGAGAGAGAGAGAGAGAGAGAGAGAGAGAGAAAGTTAAACCTTCACTTTCTTTCTATTAATCACTAGGAGAGACAACACAGATGCTTCAGCCACAGCTATTAGATTTTTGTTTTCTCATCCTGAGGCCTCAGCTGCTGGAGCCAAGCTCACAACAGCCAGACTTTATTCATTGAACTCATATTTCAAAATATCTGCAGCGGCTTCTTTCTGTCCAATCACCAAAGCACTATTGTCTCTGTGTTTGCCCTTTTTTCCAAACTGACACCGAATCTCACTGCCTTGAAGCCTCAACTCAGTGACCTCTGTTTCTGTCCACACACTCCTTTGAGAGTCTTTCTCCCAGGACAGGAAGAAAACAATGTTGATTGTCTGGAGTTAACACTTTCCAGAATTCACAGTTAGGTTTCATTGCCTTTACTGGCCTACAGAGAAGTTGGTTTGAATCCCTGGCTAGATTGGTATTAATAATATGATTTTTTTTTCTTTTCTCCTGGTATCTTCTTTCTATTCAATAAAAGAAGAGAAGCTGGTTTGCTTCTGGGAAATTGTGAAGTCATTTTTAAATAACCCCAAGCTTCTCCCTGAAACACAAGACCATCTTTAAAAAAAAAAATTCTTCTGGTGGCACTTTTATGGATGTGAGTTATATTGCAGGCTCCAAAGAAATAAAATTAGAGATCAGTCAAAAGGCAATGAAGAGATGCAAGTAGGCCTAAGGAGGTTGCAATATGTTAACAAAGAGTTGTACAGGAGAAGTAGCTAAGGGATATTGTTAGAGATAAGAAGAGGTAACCAGATTATGTAGTGAGGACGTGGGATGGATAGCAGGCTTGCTGCATTGCTGTTCATGCTAAGTAAAGAGATATTGGAGAAGTTTGGAATCCATGCCCTGTGAAGTACTTGGACAAGAATAATATAGAATGGGAAGGTATGGATGGATGGTGATTTGCATCTTTGGATGGACTACTTACATAGACAAGATCCCAGATCCATTGAAGTATTAAAACACTGGGTATCTTCACAGCTCCAAGACAACTTATACAATGGCCCCTTAAGGCTTTTGAGGTAGTGTTGTGTGTAGCATGGATTTCTTCAGTGTGTACTTTGTGTGGTTTTTTTCAACTTCATCTTCTTAAATAATATTTCAAATTTCTCATATAGAGGTAACACATAGAGATATAGATATAGATAATATATAGAGATATAGAGATGTGAGGGTACAAATGAGTTGTACTAATGATGAAAGGATATCAGTATAGAAAGGCTGACAAATTTGCTCTATTTTCCATTTATTCCTTGTCCTCCTGCCAGTTTCATTTATGAATGCTTTTGGGATGATATGGCTCATTTGGATCTCATGCCAAGCTTCTGGTAGGCTTGTTTTCATTTACACTGTTTTATGAAGCAATACTGCTTCATAAAATATCTTCTATCATCCTCATCTGAGGTGTTTTAATAATTATTTTGTAAATGGATTATTTTGATTATATGAAATCAGAAAATTTTTGCATGAACAAAGCGTGACTAGGATAAGGGAGAGCATCAATTGGGAATTTTTTTTTTGCATCAGATGTCTTTGATAAGGATTTGATATCCAAAAGAAATGAACACAAACATATAATACAAAGAATCATTTCACAGTAGATAAGTGGTCAGAGTTTATGAGCAAATAATTATCAAAAGAATTGTAAACTACAATAAATATATATAAGAATGCTACAAATTACTACTACTAAATACAAATCAAAGCAATTCTGAAGTTTTAATCTCAAACCCAGCAAATTGGGAAAGATGATAAAAGATAAAGATAGCATTAGAGGAGTTCTGAAAAGACGTACACTAATACATTATTGGAAGAGTTGCAAATCAGTTTAATTATTTTGGAAAACAGTTTTTAAGTAGGTGGAAAAAATAACAAAAATGTTCATTACCTTTGACCTAGATATTCCACTGTTAGATACATACTCCAAGAAGATCAAAGACAGAATGATCCTATATATGTCAACACACTCATATCAACACTTTTTGTAGTAGCAAAAAACTAAAGACAAAGTAAATGCCCTTCAGCTGAAGAAAGGTTAAACAAATTCTGGTTTATGATTGTAATAGAATATTACTATACTATTGGAAGTAATGAGTGGGAAGAATTCAGAGGATGGGAAGACTCCTATTAATTGAAAGTGGAGTCATCCCAATCAGGAAAGCAGTATGTGTAATCACTGCAACAATATTGATTAAAAAAAAAAAAACTAAAACAAAAAAGAAAATCAAACCAGACACTACAATTATAATGATTAGGTACAGTCTTGGAGTCGAGTTGAGAACAATTACCTCCTGTCCTTTGTAGAGGCAGGGAACTAACCTGGTTGCTGTGTTGGCTGAGTTTACTGAACTGCTTTTCCCCCCTCTTTTTTAATTCTTTGTTAGAAACGTTGACCCAGTGGGTCTTTCCCCACTCCAATCCATCCTCCTTATAGCTTTCAAAATGAAAGGAGGGGATATATTTGTAAATGAAGGTGATTTTGTAAGAAAAAAAAAACAATAAAAATTTTAAATGATTTTGTATTCTAAACATATGATGTCCTTGTTTACTTTGCAAGGCTACAAAAAAACCCTCAATAAATTTAAAAGAAAAACATGATTTTGTATTCTAAAGCAGTGATGTAATTGTATTTGCTGACTAGGGCAGGTTTTAGGTTCACCTCCTTGTTATGGTGATTGCTTTACATACGTCAAATTTTTGCAGGAAATTGTGATAACTAAGGTCTTTGTCTTTTTCCATTTATGATTCTTTTTGACACAGATGGCTCATTTGAATAGGTTAGTACAAAACTTTGGTATCTTTTTTTCCCTAATCTTTATCCTTTCTTTTGAACTTTGTTCCATTTAAACAATGGTCTATTTATTCTCTGCAAGAATACTGTGAGGTAAGATGAACAAGTATCCTATGAACTTATGAGGTAGTTAAGTGGTTTAGTAATAAAAGTGTAGGATTTAGAGTCAGAAAGATCTGAGTTCAAATATGACCTCAGGCATTTACTAGCTGTGCGACCATGGTCAAGTATTAACCTCTCTCATCTTCAGCTTCTTCATCTGTAAAATGCTGAAAATAAGCGGAGGGATTGTTGTAAGAATCAAATGAGATATTACATGCAAAGCTCTTTGCAAACTCCAAGTGCTATATAAATGTTTGCTATAATGATGATGATGATGGTGATGATGATGTTTCTTTGGGAACATAATGAAACAAATTCCTTTTTTGCCTCTCTTAAGGAGATGTTATTTTTTTTCCAGTGATTATTTTATTTTCTTTATTAAGGAAAGAATTCCTTGTCACCTTGCAAATGATAAATGTTTCTAGTTTCCTTTAGGGTCAAGATTTCTTCCATTTCAGCCCATACTGGCCTGTCCATGATGTCAACTTTCCAGCCTATGCAGAATTGTGACCTCTCACTGCCCAGAAGCAGAAAGGTGGGCTTGAATGATGAGGGTTTGAATTAAAGGAGCCTTACTTGTCCTACTACAGCAGATTTCCTAAGTGGTCTCTCTGCTTCCAAATTTCTTCCCTTTCCAATGACCCTTCGCATAGCTACCAAATTGATACTAACTAAACAAAGGTCTGAGGATGTAATTCTCCCACTTAAACACTAAGGAGATGTTATAACTATCATTCCATTCGATTACAACTTCCTTTTGTCTTCCAAATTCATTTATCATGAAAATTGCAATATTATCATGCTTCAGTTCTTCCCATAGTATTGGAAGTCAATACATTGGTTTTCAGTGAAGGATCTCACATTTAGAGTACTCTCAACTAAATAAATATTTATAGACAATCTGGGCAACAAGGTGCAGCAATGGATAGAGCACTTGGAATCAGAAAGACTCATCCTCATGAGTTCAAATCTGGCCACACAATTACTAGCTGTGTGACCTTGGGCAAGTCACTTAACCTCATTTACCTTAATTTCCTCATTTGTAAAATGAGCTGGAGAAGGAAATGGCAAACCACTCCAGTATTTCTGCCAAGAAAACCCCAAAAGGGGTCACGAAAAGTCAGACACAACTGAAATGACTCAACAATAACATAATAGATGGTCTAAAAACTGTTTTGTTTATTTAACATTTCATATCCCTTTTCTGCCACTACCACTATGGAATCAGAAGGGAGCAACACAAGACTGGGAGTAATTTTATATTTTTCTGCTCAGACCAAAGAATTCATCATGTAGTATCAAATGATAAGACCCTAAAGACTTACTCAGAACATTCTCAGACAACAGATTCAACCCAGGGCCACACTTATGTCACTATGAGGCACTGAATTAGGACTTTATGGAGGCTTGTGTATTGCAAACATAATCAAGAGTTTATATGTATACAATGCTTTGCAATTTACACCTACACACCATCTGTGAGGTAGGTAGCATTGGATTACTTCAATACTTTTTAAAAAGAGATTCATTTTTTCAACAGTATGAGTATTCGTTCTATGGACAGTGATACCCCTAGTGGATGATTTCATGAATTTTTCATCTCCTGGCGATGAGGCTGGTTTTCACATGACCTATGTACAGTCTGTTTTAGCTTTGGAAGCTCAGAATGTAAACCTTGACAGGACCTGTCAGAGCTTGTGAACTGTTTCACGAATCCAGGATCACCTTCACATCACAATGAGGCATCAAAGTCAGACTTGAGTTTAGGAAGTAGACACTGCAGATACCGTTAGTATCTTTTTACAAATGAGGAAACTGAGGCTTAGATAAGTTAAATGACTTGTCCCTAATTACATAGCTTTTGAGAAGCTGAGTCAGCAGCACTCAAATGCAGATTTGCTGATTACTAGGCCAGGGCTCTTTTTGCACCCCACAAACTCTGCCTTGAAGGGATTTATAATCTAGCTTTGTTGTTGTTGTTCAGTTGTGTCCGCTCTTTGTGTCCCCTTTTTGGGATTTTCTTGGCAAAGACACTAGAGTGGTTTGCCATTTCCTTCTCCAGCTCATTTTACAGATGAGGAAATTGAGGTAAATGAGGTTAAGTGACTTGCCCAGGGTCACCCAGCTAGTAAATGTCTGAGGTCAGATTTGGATTCAGGTCTTCCTGATTCCAGGCGCAACACTCTGTCCACTGTACTACCTAGCTGCTCTACGATCTAGCTAGGAAAATAAAATATCAATCAACTGACAATTAACCATCCACCATGTGCAAGGCCTTGTGCCAGTGACTTGTAATACAAAGAAAAAAAATGAAACATCCCCTGGCCTCTAGAAGTTTACCTTCTACCGGGGGAGACAAACTTGAACATTTATAGGAATATACAAAATACATAGACAATAGATACATGGTAATTTGGGGAAGAAGCCACTAGTAGTTCCGGGGAAGAGAAAAGGTTTTATGTAGAAGGCGGTGCTTGAGCATAAGCTTGAAAGAAAGGAGGGATTCTAAGAGGTGGAGGTAAGGAGGGCCTGCCTTCAGGACACTGGGTTCTGAGACAGGTGTACTGTATGAGAGGAACATAAACAACTCTAATTCAATTCAAATAAATTTGAGGACTCTAATATGTATGCAGGTAAGTCTAAGAAAAGACAGAGTGTAATGAGGCCATAGGAGAAAAGGACTCCAAGAAAACTTGAGGTAGGAGAGAATGCTTTTAGTTGGGGCACTCAGGAAAGGCTTCGTGGAAAAGTTAGCACCTGAAATGAACTTGGAAGAAGGAGAAGGATTTTGAAAGATGAACCTGAGGGAAAAGTTCATTTTAGAAAACTGACAAAAAACCAGTCTGTAAGCACAGAGATGGGAGATGAATATACTTTTGAGTAATAGCTAGTTGTCCAGTTTGGTTGTAATATAGAGGGAGTAAAGGGGGGTATTGAGAGGTAAGATTGGAAAGGTAGGTTGGAGTCGGGTTATGTTAAATCCTATTCACAATAGGAAGTCAATGAAGATATTTGATCAGGGAAATGACATGGCCAAATCTGTCTGTTAGATTCTTTTAATGCCTATGGATTGATTGAGTGGGAGAGATATTGGAAGCAGCAATCCAATTAGGAAACTAATTACAATAGTTCATGCTAAAGGTGATAAGATATAAGGAATGTTGAGGAGGTAGGATCCACAGGAACTTCTTGTGTCCTTTGTTCTGGAAGAGGACCACAACATCAAGAAGGTGATGCCATGACTTGCAAGTGAATTGGATTTAAGTGGGGGAGGTCTGTGCAAAGTCACCAGCCTTAACTATTTCCTCTAGAGCTATCTGGCTCCACTGGCAAGATCTATATCAGGATGACTGGAGTTGGCCCTGAACTGGCAGCTGGTGGCAAAATGGATAGAACACTGTGCTTGAAGTCGGGAAGACCTGAGTTCAAATCTAGCTTGAGATGTTTAGTAGCTGTGAGACCCTGGGCAAGTCATTTAGCCTCTGTATCAGTTTCCTTCACCGTAAAATGGGAATATAATAATAGTGGGGGCTATGATAATAGCACCTACCTCCCAGGGTCTTTGTGAGGATCAAATGAGATTATATTTATAAAGTGCCTGGAACATAGTAAATGCTATATAAATGTTAGCTAGTATAGTAACGGTGGGGAGGGTAAAAAGAAAGGGGTGTGCAGGAAGGAAGAGCCAAAGATGACTGAGGTTTCAAGCTGGGATGATGGGAGGAGGAAAGGTGGTGCCATCAGCAGAAATAAGGAGGTGTTTAGAAGGGAAGGTCAGTTTTAACAAGCTGAGTTGGAGAAGTCATCTAGGAGCAGTCAGCAGGTAGTTGAAAAAGCAAGACAAATTTAGCGAGGGATTAGGGCTGGGTATTTGGGAGTTATCTGTATTCTGTGTACAGATGAAAACGGGAACCGATGAGATCGCCATGGATTGGATAGCGATGGGGAGGGTGAGCCCGGAGCTAGGAAGAAAGAATCAAGGATGACTCTGAGATAATCATGGACAACTTAGGAAATGGCGACTGATTAAAAGAATAGCAGTAATGAGAGAAAGCCAGAGTCTGTGCCAGAGACCTTAGTTAACATATTGGCCACTAAATATTCCTCGATGATGGTGAGAATGAGGTTGCAATAATAATTATGCACTATGTATGGTTCCTCCCTAAACAAATAATCTCGAGTTAGTTACAAGGTCACATTGCCTTCATTTACATTGGGTTGTAGTTTCTTTAGCTAAATACTATTGTCCAGTCAAAAAAAAGTTAATGGTTTTTCATCTTCGATTTTTTTTGGAGGGGTGAACACACTGCAAGAATCTGCTTGCTGTTCCCAATCCATTTTGATGCATTGCAACACTTTCTTCCCCTTTCTGTCAAATCTCTCAGTTCTTTCCTCCTGCCTTTCATTCTCAGACTCTCACACTGACCTAGTGACCCCCAGCCATCCTGGCTGAGCAGTGGAGGAGAAACAGGGAAACACATCCGATGCCGGTGGATTAGGGAACAGCAGTTTTCTATTTTCTCCCGAATATTGGGGTTATGGGGCTCTGCTTCCTTCCCTCCCAGTGTGTAGTCTCCTGCCAAGCGTTGGGACCGGCACTGGCACTGGCACTGCCGCCGGTTCCAAAGCATTCCTATTCCAGTGTCGATCTCTATTCCATTCCCCGGGCGCAGGAGGCACAGCTGGCCGCAGCGGGTAAGAGAGAAAGCAGGAGGGCTCATCAGCAGGGGACAGGGGTGGGGGACGGGAGAGAAGGGGCAACCACAGAGTAGCTGTTGTGTGCGTCCTAGACCTGCCGAGGGCGCCGGCTGGCTGCGGCCAGACTGCAGAGCGCGTCAAGAGGCGGGGGCGTGCGCAACCGATGACTGCTGTCGCCCCCCTGGCCATATCCCCTGCGAGAGCCGGGAAGGGGCGGAGAGGAGGTGGGGCTTGGAGGCTGCAGTTCCTCTAGCCGGGAGCTCTTGGCCCTTTAAAAAGCACCTGGCTCCTAGCTCCGGCAGTGGCTGCGGCGGCAAGAACCACCTCCGCCACATCCATTCCCTTGCCCCTGGATTTGGAATCCTCTTTTCTGCCTGCCCCCTCTTTCCTCTCTAGGGCCAGTTATCCACTGGCAAAGCTGCTTTCTCCAGCCAAACTCGCCAGGGTTTGACTGCTCCGAGGTGTAAAGTGTTGTGTGTTTGCCCTAGCCCCTCACAGTCTTTTGCTCCTTCTCCCTGTCCCTCGCTCCATGCGCCAGAGGAGCATGTCTGGGAACTTTCTGCTCGCCCCCATTCCGGAGTCTTCCTCTGACTACGTGCTCCACAAGGACATTAAGCTGGCAGTGCTGGGTTCAGGCAACGTGGGCAAGAGCGGTGAGTGTCCCTGGATCTGAAGGTGGTGGGTGGCATGCGAGCAAAAAGAGAGAAAATTTACAGATCTTGGCACCATGTTACGCCAGGAGATCCTTTTTTTCCCCCAGTATTGGGGCGGGGGGGGGTGTCCAGAGAGAAGAATAAAGAGTGGTGAACATTTTTCACCATTAGCAGAAATCGCACTGCCAGCCTTGGAACTACCTCTACTTGCCTGGTTCCCTAGACCAGTTCCCATTCATACAGGATTGCATACAATGCACCTCATTGAAGCTTAGATTTACCATTTTTTAGAGAAGCCCAAGGGATGTTGTGGTTTGGAAATATCCAAGCTCCGTTTAGGAGCATGTAAATTATGAATCTCCTTTATTCTCCTTGAAGATTCAGCCTGAGGCAGGAAAGAAAAGCAGATGTATCCCTTCTCCTACAAAGGCTGAAGGTGCAAAGTAATTTTCTCTGCTTCTGTTCTCCTTTCTGTGTCTGGCCAGCGGTTCCTGGAAAATTATTATTTCTTTCCTTGACTGTCTATTGTAATTCTCTTGTCCTAAGCCTTTACTTACTATCCCAAATAACTGTATTCGTTTGTTTGTTTTAGCAATGATTGTGCGCTTCCTGACCAAGAGGTTTATTGGAGATTATGAACCCAATACAGGTTAGGATTATTTCATGCTCCTTTAGAGCTCTCACTGTTTCCGTGGCCTTTTATTTCCTTTCTAGGTGGCAGCAGTTTTTAAAGTCTCCTTTTTTTCCTTTTACACAGGCAAACTATACTCAAGGATTGTTCACGTAGAAGGAGATCAACTGTCCTTACAGATCCAAGATACTCCGGGATGCATTCAGGTGCGTTTCTTCCTGCATCGGCTAATTAGTAAACACTCTCTTATGGTCTAGATTTTTTCGGTGACGGGTATAGTGGAGATCCAGGCCTGGCCCATTTCTAACAAGGCTTTTAAGAAGTTGGCTAGTTGGCCTTTCCCCCGTATTTAATATTTAGCATTCTATTAGCCCAACTTGCTAAACTGTAGATCTGACTTTTTTACTTGAAGCTACCTGTGAGTTTTGAAAGGCTGGAAGAACACTTTACAAGAGCAGTAGAGGGAGGTTTTTCTCCTTTCTATGAGATTTTAGAGTAAATAAATCACTGAGTTCTTCAGAGCAGGAAAGGAAGAAGAACTAAGATGATTGATTCTGTATCCACAAATGTAGCAACACTTCACTCAACAGCAGGCTACAGAAGTCTTAATTGCTGCAGCTGGCATCATGCAGAGCTTGGGTCTTGTAAGAACTTTTTACAGTGCTTTACTAATTGCAAATCAAATTAACTCTTGGCAGCGAATAAGGAATGTAATTTTATTAACAAATGAATAATTACCATCATTTTTAGAAAGTGTGTGGAGGAAACAGAATTAATAAGATGTGTGTTTCTGCATCCTCAGGAGTGCACCCTCAACAATTATTTATTGGGTTCAGGATTAGATACTCATTTCCTTGAATGCTCTGGCTCTTTGGGAAGTTATTTTAAACTGCTTTTTAAAAATAAAATTTTACTTAAAAAATTAACCAGTGCTTATTTGAAAGATCTTAACTGAATCCCTCCTTGTCTGCCATAATTAAATTTTGTGTATGTGTAAAACAGTAAACACTTGCATCTTATATAAAGAAGTATGTGCCAAGACTGAGAATCTGATTTTCTGTGTCAGAAGTCCCTTTTGGGGGAAGTTGTTTCAAATTCACAAGAAGTTCTGGAATGTGATTTTTTTTCTTTTTCAGTTTTTTTCCCCCCCAAATTGGTAGGTAGTCTTTTCAGGTTGTTTTTTTTTTTAATGGAGTATTCCTTTATGTACAGTCTCACTTTTATCTCTTGAAGGTTCAAGATGACTTTGTCCAGGTATTGGATTCTCTCTCTAGATGTGTACAGTGGGCAGAGGGTTTTCTGCTGGTGTATTCCATCACAGACTACAGCAGCTACCAGTCAATTCGACCACTTTACCAGCACATCCGAAGGCTCCATCCCAACTCCAAGACTCCCATCATCATTGTGGGGAACAAAGGGGATCTTCTCCATGCCCGACAGGTGCAGACTAATGATGGCATCCAGCTGGCTAATGAGCTGGGCAGTGTGTTTCTTGAAATTTCAACTAGTGAAAACTATGAAGATGTCTGTGATGTTTTTCAGCATCTCTGCAAAGAGGTTAGCAAACTGCACAGCCTTAGTGGGGAAAAGAGAAGATCATCTCTCATTCCCCGGCCTAAATCTCCCAACATGCAGGACCTCAAGAGACGCTTCAAGCAGGCTCTTTCTTCCAAAGTAAAATCATCCCCTTCAATGGGATAAATCCATGGTTCAACAGACTCTGATCTCCTTATTATACATCTGTGCAGCTAAATAGACTGGTTTCCCTCTTTTTAATTGCTCATTCAGAGTTTATTTTTGTATAGGTATTAATTTTCATGTGTGTGTCTCTTAAAGAAAATATTTACCCTCAGCTTTGAGGGAATTTTTGTATATGAATTTGTACCAAAACTGCTGGTAACTTTTCCATTAAAGGTAAAATGATAACATGGTTTCCTGTTGTTGTTGTTACTGGTTTTTTTTCCCCATGCCTTTTCCTAGGTGGTATACTTACAGTGGAGAATACAGCATTGTGGGAGTTCAAAGTTTGCCCTCAACTTGAGTCATGAATAAATAACAATGCAATAGGGAAGGTTTGTGTGAAGGGATTCTGCTGTAGGGCTAAGGAAACATTTGGAATCAAGAGCTTTGATTAACTACAACATGTCTTTTACCTGGGCAGTTCGAAATGAGCAAGAAATAAAAAAAAAATGTTGACTGTACCGTGGATTTTAAGGGGGAGGTGTTTAATATGAACAAACATTAAAAAACTAAAAGTCATCATTTGAGAAAAGTGGTGTTATTGTCAGAAGAGTACATCTATACATCTCATTCATTGGTGCTATTTTGTGGTAAAAAAAAAAGGCTCTTTTGCTGATTGCTTCTCAGGTAGTAAAGGGATACTAATGAGATACCCAATGGAAACAGCTTATCACAAGCATAAGGTATATCACCTACCAAGTGGCCAAAGGCTCTTTATTAGTAAGGACAACAAAGAAGCTAGTCTGGTAAAGTTTGATACTATGTCAATCTTTGAGAAAAGCCTTGTTGTGCAAGAAGCCCATTCATGCCCATCCCCTGCTCAATTACTGTGGCCCTACTGAGCTGAGGAGACTGACTATATGTGCTATGGAGCACAGACAATTCAATTAGTTATTGAGAATTAGGGTCCCAAACAAGATCCAAGTAACTGAAGAAAAGGTCATTTTTTTGGCTTGAATAAATACCTACTCAAGTTCTCCATGCCATCTTGCATATGTAGCCAAATACATAAATAATTTTTCTCAGTGCCTATTTCCTGTTTCTGTATGGTTTGATCCCATAGAAATAAAAAAAGTGAAAAATTGCTTTCCTTTCCCTTTTATTTTCTTCTACCTTTCCTCCCTTTCCCTCAGCTTTCCCCCTTTCTGTCTTTTCCTTCCCTTCTTACTTCCTCTTTCCCTTCTCCCTTCACCAGTCCCGTCCTCTTTCCTTTCCTGAATTATTTGTTCTTTGCAGAATGGCATACTTGAAAGAGTCCTGTACTTAAAGTCAGGAAAAACTGGGTTCACATCCTGCCTCTAGTATTTACTAGTTGGGTGACTATAGGCAATTTGCCTAGCCTATTTGAGCCTCACTTTCCTCAATGATAATACAATAGAAGTCACAAGGCTGTATATGATTAAGTGCCAAATTAATGGTGAAGGCAGAAAATAGACTTCCATGGAAGGAGAAAGAAATCATCGTAGTGGGTGGGAATGGGTCATAAGTGAGTCATAAAGGCCAGCACAAAATGTATCTGGTGATTGGGTATGTAGGGATATGCTGTTTGTTGTAATCCTTCAGCATATTCCCACACAACCCAATTAACAGATATATGTTTTGCTCCTATCACTCATCAGCATCAATAAATGAAACAACATGGAAATTCATGCCTCCTCCCAAAATGGAACTTTCCCCAAAGAAGCTTCCTCTCCCCCAGAAATGAAGTAGAATAGAGAGGTGAAGGAAGAGAAGAATGAGAAAGTAAAAGATTTAGGGATATCTGATTACTTAGTTGATCTCATTCTCTAACTCATTGTCTATGCCCTAGCCTTTTTCTCATGATAAGCTGCTGGGAAGGAGACTCTGAAGGAAGCTAAGCATCTATGAAAGGAGAAGGTTGGGGGAAGTATGATGGAACTTGAAGGATCTGTATGGGGAAGGGGTCTACTCAGGAAGCCTTTCCAGGGGCCTGAGCACTGAAGTTTTTCCCAAATTCTAAAAGGAATATCTTTCTTTCCCTCTACCTACATCCCCTTGTTTTGGGGGATATGGCAGTACTGGAAGGCTAGAGTGCTGGGTCCCACTCAGGATGGAATAGGTTAGGGCAAAGATACCAAAATCCTGGATCTTTGTTCCTTGGATCATCTAAGTATAAATTGATAAGGGTAAGTGAGGGAAAGTCCCTGACTTTGTCCCCACTTGAAGGAAGTGTAGGTATGTGTATGCACACATGGGTGCCCATGAGGGGCGAGGTTTACCTTATGTGGAGATCTACCCAATTTGTGAGAAAGAAACTAAATCTTTGTTTACTCAATTCCCTGTGCCAATTATGCCCTCTCCCCCATCTCCACCTGTTAAAATTCAACTGTTTTCAACTCTCATACCAGCTCTTTTATGAAGCCTTCTATGATGGTTGGAAATGACATTTCCTAGTTGAGATGTTACATAGAACTTTGTATCTCTTTTATGCATTTATGCAGAGTGTATATCTACTATACTCTATAAGTCATGAGCACCTTGAAGATAAAGGCTAGGTCTTATTTACTTTTATATCTCTCCTAGGGCCCAGCACATAATCAATCAATAAGCATTTATTAAGTGCCTACTATGTGCCAGGCACTGTGCTAAGGGCTAGGGATTTAAAAAGTGCAAAAGACTATTCCTGCCATCAGGACAATCTAATGGGGGAAGACAACATACAAACAAATATATACAAAACAAGTTATTCATTAGATAAAAAGGAATTACTTAGCAGAAGGAAGGCACTAGGATTAAGAGGGGTTAGGGAAAGCCTTAAATAAAAGATGGGGTTTTAGTTGGAACTTAAAGTAAGCCAAAGAGTAAAGGAAGTAGAACATTCCAGATACAAAGGACAGCCAGAGACAATACCCAGAGCAGAGAGATGGAGTGTCTTGCTCATGGAACAGCTAGAAGGCCAGTGTCACTGGATGGAAGAGAATGTGGCAGGGAGTAAGGTGTAAGAAGACTGGTAAGGTAGGAAGGTACAGTCAATAAATCTAATCTATTAAATCTAAGATATGTATGTTGAATTAAATTGCCTCAAGCCTGCCCAACACAATTAGGAAGTCTAACTCCAAGTTAAGAAGGCCTGGTCCTCCACAGTTCCATCTTACCCCTCCTACACTCTCATCTTGATCATTGCTCAAAGGCCTTTTGTCTATTAAAATGTGTCTATAATAGTTTCATTAAGACTGCAGAAAAGAAATTGATCATGTTAAAATGGCCCAGCACTAAAGTGAATAAATGGGTTATTCCCCTTATGTAATTCATGAAAAACAAATTTAAATGCTTGTAAGATATGTTGGGTATGATTGGGAAAAATAAATGTGTTCTGTCAAAGAAATACTTCTGTGCTTTGTTGAGGCAAAGGACACTACTGGAGAAGTTCTAGAAAATTTATTAATAACTCTTTTAGAAAAAAAATACAAGGGACTCAAGGATATTATGTAATTGGAGAGAAAATCACAAAGGTTACTTCCATTGAAAATGTTGATATGGCTTTTTTTCTTCCTCCTGTGGTTCATAATCTTAGCCTTTTGTTTTAGACCCTGACCTCTGATACAACAGGTTAGGTTTCATCTTGGGTGTCTTTCCATCTTTAATAACTTCCATGGCTCATTATTTACCTTCACAATATGTTTTGAATATGTCCCCTTCTTTCTTCTGACAGTGCCACCATTTTAGTTCAGGCTTTCATCACCTCACATCCGCCTATCTTAAGTCTCTGCTCACTCCAATCCACCCTCCATTCAGCCATTAATGTGATTTTCTGAAAACGCAGATTTGAGCATGTCTTACCGATTCATGACCCCCACCCCCAACTCAAGAAACTCATCTTATCAGCTTCTTATCATCTCTAGGAGCAAATACAAAATGCTCTGTTTGGCATTCAAAGCCCTTGATAACCAAGCACCCTTCTACCTTGCCAGTTTTCTAACACCTTACTCCCCAACGTGTACACTCTTTGATTCAGTGATGCTGGCCTCCTGGCTGTTCCATAAACAAGACTCTCTAGGCACCCATCATTCTCTGTGGCTGGCTCCCATGCCTGACTCTCTCCCTCCTCCACTTGGACTGATGACCTTTTTGGCTTCCTTTAAGCCCCAACTAAAACCCCATCTTCTACAGGAAGCCTTCCCTAATTCCTCTTAATTCCAGTGCTTTCCCTCTTTTTAATTATTTCCTATCTACCCTGTATATAGCTTGCTTTGTATATATTGTTTCTTTGCTGTCTTCTCCATTAGATTGTAAACTCCTTGAAAGCTAGAACTATCTTTTTGGATCCCCAGCACTTAACACAGTGCCTGGCACATAGTAGGTGCTTAATAAGTGTGTATTGATTCATTTCTCATTACCCCACCCAGGGTTTCTCCTGGGAAAATCAGAATATGGCTTGTGTCTCTTCAATTGTGCTTGGCTCCCTTGTAGGCACTTAAGTTAACTTCTCTTCCTCTTCTTGGAAAATAGTTAAAAATTTAGCATAAATGTCCCCTATGCTTTCATTGTCACCAAGACATATTTGAGTATTGTGATTTCAGGGCATCCTGCCTTCGACATGTTAGAATGTCATTGGCTGGTTCTCTCTGGTGGCGCAGGAGTTTCCTATTCTTACATCATCACGTCGGTGGCTTATTCTCATCAGGGCTCAAAAGCTTCCTTTCTTGGCACTTGGTAGGTGCTTAATACATGTTTGTTGATTGGTTGATTGATTGCAAAGTCCAGACAGAAAATAGCTGCAGTTGTCAATAGTTGGTCTCCTTTGGCTACACTGCTTGACCTGGCTATACTGATTGACAACCTATCTCATTGTCCAGGTATTTGTTTGGCATTGGGTTGCTGGCTGAACCCAATTCTCTCTCCCCAAATCCTTTGTATCTTCCACAGTCCCATCTTCTCTTTCCTTGAGGAACCTTTCTTTACAAGTCTTATCCTGAAGTAAATTCTTCCTTAGCAACATTTCTCATATATGCCGCCTTTTCTCTTCTGACACTTTTAGCACCCTGGTGCAAACTGTCACCTCATTCCTAGACTATTTCAGTAGCCTTCTAATTTGCCTATCTACCTCAAGTTTCTTTCCAATCTAGTCCATCATCTCCTTAGCTATCAAAGTGATCTTCTTCAAGTGCAGGTCTGACCATATCACTCCCTACTCAATAAATTTCAGTGACTCCCTTAGGCCTTCAGGATCAAATG